CTCAACCTAAATGCGTTCAGCGTCTGCCATAACACATCCCTGTCCACTCTGTCATAAGCCTTTTCCAAGTCCATGAACGCACAAAAAGCTTTTTGGTTTTTCGCCAAAAACTTCTCCGCGATCATGCGCATGGAAAAGACTTGATCTGTACACCCCATTCCCTTTCTAAATCCAGCTTGCACATCCCAAATTTTTTCATCAGTTTCTTTCATAACTCTTTCAATTAGTACCTTAGCATACAGTTTTCCCACAATGCTAAGAAGGCTGATACCATAGTAGTTTTTACAGTCCTGCTGTGACCCTTTTCCCTTATATATTGGGGCTATCACGGCTTTGCACCAGTCTCCCGGTACCCGCTTTAGTTCCCAACATAAATTAAACAAGGTGTACAGCAAGCCTGCCACCACGTCCTCTCCAGCCCTTAGCATTTCGAGTGAAACTCTATCATATCCGGCTGCCTTACCTACTTTCATGCTTTTCATTGCTTTCATTAGTTCGTCTATACTTACCTCCCTATCTCTTTCATCTTCTTTCGGAATTTCTATTTCATTTAGTTCACACTTCTCACTCATAAATACGCTTTCAAAATATTCCTTCCATCTCTTTAGACTCAACACTTCATCATTCAGGATACGTCGTCGTCTCGTATCGCATTCAATCTAGGCTGTTTTGAAAGTCCCCTGGTATTTCTTACGAGTTTCTAGAACATTTTAATATTTGCCTGGAAGTTATCCGATATTCTTCTATCATTCTTATCCGTTCTTTCTTGCTTTTTCCTTTCAACTAATTCTTTTACTCTCTTATTTAAACGTTTAAACTCTGCCTTTTTTCTTTCATTCTCATCATTCTTACCGCCAGAATTACCAGCTTTGGTCGCTAGTCTTGCTCTCTTCTTTGCTTCACCTTCCATACGTACCTCATCATCCCACCATAACGTATTGTCTTTCTTTCATTCGTTCTCTTACTAACACCACATACTTCGGTATTTGCATCCACTAAACCTTTCTTAACATTATGCCACACATTCTCCAAGTCTAACTCATTCACACACAACTCATCCAAATTACTTATATTTTCTCTCAGTCTGCATTTGTACTTGTCTTTCACATCTTCATCTTGTAACTTCTCAATTCTTATACACTGTAACACAGTGGTAGACACAGAGTTTTGTTATGAAATCTATCATGCTTCTATCATCACCTCTTTCCCAAGTATACATGTGAATCTTCTTATGACGAAAGAAAGTGTTCGTCACAAAACGATTCCTTTCCACACATACGGTGAGGAGGCTTTCACCATTCTCATTAATACTTTCATCACCAAACGTTCCCAGTATCCTTTCATAGCCAAGCCTCCTCACCCCAACCCTTCCATTAAAATCTAACATAACAATATTTTCATTTTCCCTACATTTCATTAACACCATCCTTACCTCCTCATGGTGCGAAAACTAGGGTGTGGCATATTTTACGCCGCTACCACACGGCGAGTAGCCGAGTCTGTTCTTTCGGCTTTGTCGCTCTTTTAGCACCACCCGGGGGGAAACGTGGGGGTGGATTAGGATTAGATGGTCGAAGCCTACGGACGCGAGCGACTTATCCCCCCTTTATATTAAGTAAATTAACATATGAAAGTTAACATTTACATAGCATAAATATTTTTTTTCTCTCTTTTCGTTATACTTTTGACAGATACAAGTATTATGGAATTATTGTTATAATTTGTTTAAAAACATCTTTAAACAATATGTTTATGCGTCACATTGCGAAGTTTTTGGTAGATTTTGACGGCGGCTTGAACCAGTTGACAAACAAAACAATCGATGACGACAGTATATCAAGGCGCCTAACATGACACGTTTATTGAGGTAGGTACACATCACGATGGGAGCACATGTTTCGTATCTATAAACAATTATTATATTATACTTATATTTCACATGCGCAGGCATTTAATACACAAAACTACCACGTATAAATATAAAAGTTCACTTAAAACCATTATTTTAATTAACTGAAAGTGAAACACAATTTTAATGAGTCTGGCCTCTCGTTGGGTAGGTAGTTAAAAGAAAAGTACCCGGATGACCGAGCTTTGCTCGGTTTTTTTAAGTTACATTTAGATACAAATTACATGAATAATATTTTTTGATCTTATTGACATAATAGAAAAAACTAAACTGGTTATTTGAATGAAAATCATGAGCTCAATAAGTTTAATTAAAAATTTTCTTATTTTTAAAAATTACTAAAAAAAAGGGCTCGAAATAATAGATTTTCTCACAAAAGAAGGGAGTTAAAAAAAAGGAAAAAAAAGTCTGACCCAAGACGGGACGCGAACTACGGAACTCCGATATCACGCCCGACCTGTCTGTCAAAATTTACATTCTTATATTGTAGCAGTTTTTTTTATTGCCTGAAAACACGGACAAAAGGACATTTTCTAAAAATAAATCCTAGCTAGATCGATTTATTGCCCCCGAAACTCCCTGGACACTAAATTTTATGAAAATCGTTGGAGCCGTTTCCGAGATTCCGATTATATATATATATATATATATATATATATATATATATATATATATATATATATATAATACAAGAATTGCTCGTTTAAAGGTATAGGATTTAATTTCTAAAGTAACAATTTGATTTTATTACTTGTCAAACATTCCAAATAGGTCAAGATAGCGTTTAAAAACAAATGTAATGCCTATCATAACAGGAAGCTATACATATAAGTAGGTGGTACGTGGGCCACTCAGTTCGAAACGAAAAACAAAGTTCTTTGGTTAATGTTTTAATATCTATTAACTTTTTTACGTGGCAGAGCCATGCTGCAGCTTTATTGTGGTCGTAGCAAGAATAGGTCGACACGACCGGGATGGGACCACGCTCTTACAGAATACCAGCGTAAAATAGGTGAGTGTGTAGAGAAACGGCGACTAGACTTTTTTACTGGATACAAGGCATTACGTCCTAGTCCTAAGAAGTAACAACGCATCTGCATATTGATTCCTAATCAAAGATAACTGTAGACGTCTATGAGCCACACTATCCACGTCTCATGACAACCGAGCAGATGATAAAAAAAAATATTTTAAAAGATCTCTAGACCTATTCAAGGTTGTATGCGTCACGCACGAACAGAAATTACAGTGAATTAGAATTGTCGTAGGTACTACGATATACAAATACACAATCACAAGTGGTAACTAAAATTAAAAATGTTGTACAACCGACTTCAGTGTAAATAAAATGAAAACATCAATGTAGTCGAACTCAATTAAATACGTATTATTATGGGATAACTCATAAACTACTGGTCAGATCTTGATCTTTATATGGGACCACATGAGAAGCACTAGTTTTCAAATAAAAAAGAATCAACCAAATCGGTTCACCTGGAAAATGTTCTGAGGTAACACACAAAAAAAATACAATCGAATTGGGAACCCCCTCCTTTTTGATGTCGGTTAAAAAGACTAGAGTTCTTTCTTTGAATAGCAGTACACAACATGAGTATACATATATATATACAATACGCCGCAAATTGCACGAATACCTACATTTTCATGCTACGAAAAACCTAACTGAATCAATGGAATTACCCTACACAATGAATAAAACTACTTTAACGGATTTTATCGCGTTTAATTTTAATTGATTTTTAATTCCCGACGTTTCGGGTGCTTTCCAGCACCCATGGACACGGGGGTCTGAGGTGACTGACTGACTAACGTCCCGATGTCAATGTTAACCCGGAGTACCTTCAGCTTTTTAATTATTGTTTATGGTCCGATCTATGCAGAATGAACTTTGTCTTGCAGTGGTATGCTTGAGTTTAGTTTTAATTTTATTAATTATAGGGTCCAAAGCAGGTGGTAGTACCCAGCCTCCTTCTCTATTGAAATTAGGATGTTTTTTTATTTCAATAGCCTCACGTATCATCCTTGGGTCGATGTTCTTTCGCGAGGATTTGTGGTCTATCAAATCTGATGTAATGGTTGGGGCCGCCTAAGATATGATCACAAACTGCAGACTTCTCGGAACGTTGATGCTCTAAAATATAAGAAATCATTACCCTACACAATTTAGTCATACGTACGTGTGCGTACGGCACCGAACATGCTGCCCTGTATCGTATATTACTATGGAACATGCGTAGCCGTAGTAAACTAGAAAGGCAACAATTATCCATATAGTCTCGAGAGTAAACACATTTTTTTAAATTATTTTTACACAAATCCAAAATATTTACTGTAGGCACTCCTTAATAAATTAATTAGAAAATTATCACGTTTACCGCTAAATTTAAGTAATAAAAACATAATCAAAGAATATATTATATTAGTACCACGTATACCTACTAAGTACTTACTCGTATAAAAGTAAGTCATAAACTAAAACGGGAAATTTGTTCTTGTTTGTTACCGAACGGCCCTGAAACTTATTTAAAAGCCACAACGTGATTTGACTACAAGCAACAAGATAAAAAATTAAATAAATTATTATTGGTTAATGACCAGAAATTATTATAATATTGAGACACAAAAATATGACATTGATAGATATACATATTATGTGATATTTGGGACAGGGACAGAAACAGGTTTAATTGAAAAAAAGATGACAATATTCAAACTTTATTAATTTTTTTTAAGTCTATGTAAAAAAAAAGACCGAGAACCCGTTGCCTTCCTATCTTTATTTTGAAATGCGGGAATCGACTTCAATGTCGTCGAAATATTTTTATTATTTACGCAGACTAGCGAGTGTTCTCAGTTGGTAAATCGGCCTTACTTTCCCTTAATAATCATGTGCTCTTAGCCCATCCCAATCCCCAAATTCTAAATGATGGCGATTGGGTATTAATCACGTATGGGGAAGCGTGTCGCTTGTATACACACACCTGCCTACATTATATTCGGTAGTAAACACTGATGCCGACAAGGTAATCTTACAAATATAGCCGTTAAAGATGATCGAATGGTTAATTACATCTAACTCTTCCAAGAATGCAATCTCATCCGCATCGCGTTCACCCTCTTCCTTCGTTATAATCCTTCCATTTTCACTGACACTGCCCGTTAAGTTACTATCCTTCAGCTCATTACCAAGTTTAAAATCACTAAGCATATGATATGCACTATTACTATGCCCGAATAACTTCATAGCTTGCGCTACCGATTTACCTTTATACTTTTCTAATGTGTTTACACCCCCGGGATGGTCCCGAAGGAACTGTTTAATATCGTAGTTATTGCACTTGAATTTCACGGGAAACTCGCCGGAACCCATTTCGACAACCGCCAACCCCGACGTATTCTTTAAAACTGCGTTTGTGTTGCGTTGCGTTACGTTGATAACTTCAGTCAGTGATGTCCCGCTCGCGTCCCGTGAGACATAGCATAGCAGATGTTTTCACGGCATTACCATTGGTTTGTTGTCTTGAAATCGTTATCTTTATTTTTTTATAGTTTTCGATAAACCGATTGCACGTTCAGCAAATTACTTTTTTATTTTTATTTTTTATAGACTAGACTAGCAACGATTGTTATATCAATAAAAAATAATTGTTACAGCTTATTTAGGACATAATACAAAATCACTTAAAGGTATTCATCACTTATAAAATTAAATATTAACATTAACTAAATAACTAAGGGGCTAAGAGCTCGCTGTAAATTTCACAGTACGCGAGTAACCCAGGTTCGAACCCCGTCGGCACCTATGAAATTGTTAATTTCCATTATAAGTGCTGATTTAATACGTGCTCGGCAATGAAGAAAAACATCGTGAGGAAACCTGCATGTCTAAGAAATAAGAAACAAAATATTTCGAAGACATGTGAAGTTCGCCGACAGTCATTGGTGAACCGCGGCGGACGTTTCCTTGCCCTAAAACCGTCTCAGAAATGAGAGGAGGCCTGTGCCCAGCTGTGGGACGTTCTACGATCGGCTGTGACTAAGTAACTGGCTATGAAGTAGTAATCCTGTAAGCTACCTGGCTACACGACTAAGATTTTACAATTGTCTAAAATGGCCACGAAATTTAGGCTGGCTGTGATACAATGTAGGTCAAGGGTTTTGTGATAGTTGATAGAATTTGTTGTAAATACGGGACTACTACTTAGTAGTGTCCTACGGAATCGGCATACTAGGGACTTGATCGAAGCCACGCTGCAGCTATATTATAGTTGTAGCATGAATTGGTCGAGTCGACTGGGGCACGACCACACTCTCACAGAACACCAGCATAAAATAGCAGCTTGATGCTGTTTCGTATAGTGAGTGTAGAGAACCGGAGACCCTTTTTACTGGAATCGAGGCATTCCATCTTAGTCCTCAGGGGTGGCAAAGCATTTGCATTTTGATTCTTACTTGAGGATAATTGTGGATGTCTATGAGCCACAGCATCCACTTACCATCAGGTGGACTGTATGCTCGTTTGTCACCCAAAGCTATAAAAAAAACTCTAAAACGAAACGCATACGTAGGACGTACGTCTGGAGAGCATAGTAAGTTGTTTCTAATAGTTTAGAAAAATAGTTTGTTCAGTGACGTTAGCTCAAAGAATTCTAATGACTCCGATTACGAATAGGGATATCTCCGTCTGCCAACGGAGTACGATAAGTGGCGTACGAACCTTTTTGAATCCGTTAAATCCTCAAGAGTATGAGTTGCAAAATCAGGGCTAATAACGTTAAGCACACCAGATGTCGCTAGTTGTGACTAGGGTTGCCAGGTCTCAAAACCAAAAAGCCGGACAGACCAGCGAGCTTAGCCGGACATTTTGGTGAAAAGGCCGGACACTTAATTTTTGTCTTAGTAAAAGATATTTTTTTAAAGTACAACAATGCTTTTTATCATTTACCGTAAAATCTTCTTAAGTGCTAACGAAATAACGACAATTGAATAAATCAGTCTTCTTTATTATTAATTATTCAACATTCATTACAATATTAATGTCAATAATAGCAATAGTATGTATGTAAGTACATGAAAAATGCAATGAATGGTCAAATTTAAAAAGCCTAACAAAAACCGGACACCGTCTAATTTGGCCGAACACGCAACCAAAAAGCCTGCCTGTGTCCGGCTTTATCCGGACCCTATAAAACATCTGATCCGGACGTTTGCAACGCTAGTTGGGACTGAGGTGAACTATTTTGTTACGCGTGATCACACCGTGTCGTTATCGTTTTATAGTTGCGTTTTAAATATGTTTTTCGGTTTCTTATGCCTTCTACTTTTATGCCGGCTGTACACGCTCGTCGAGACACCACGAGACAGGCCTAGAGGCGAGCGTTATTTAACATTGTTCTTAAAAACTTCGCGTTTTCCTTTATAAATATTATAACATGTATAGTTTTCCTTGTGAATAAACATTTAAAGTGTATATAAATATTTAGTGTACATAAACAGACATATAATTGGTGTAAATAAATAATAAATATTTTTTGTATTAAGTTAATTTTTGTGTATTATGTGGATCATAATAATTATGTGATGTGATGGACAATAATACTTAAATACTTACATATTTTGTGACTGTATAAAATTGTACAAAGGTACTAATATTGACAATGTCGCGCACATGTTATAATACCTATAACCTGTTACGTATTCGTAATCATAACATAACACAGTTAAACTAATATTATAATACCTACCTATAATATGTTAATATTTTCGTAATTATAACATAACACAAACGCAAAACTAACCTACGCTATACTGTATACATATGTAACTAATTACAAAAATAAGCAGTTTTGAAACTAGTTACTCATATCCACGAAACTACGTACAACCGATTACGTCCAAGACGTTACGACCCATGTCTAGACAGGGCGAGTACGAGTGTGTACAGGGTGCTCTCGTCGCGTCGCGTCGCGTCTCGTGTCCCTCGTGCGCTCTCGGAAGCGTGTCGGTTTTTTGCGCTCGAGTCAAAGGGTCTCGTAGGTATCGCGATGAATACCGAGAGCGAATGATGATATTACTTAACGTGTATAACATGTATAATCAAGCAGAAAAATGCAAACTGTATTATGACATTTTAATATGTAAAAAGTCAAAGGTCGACATTATAACTATACATCAAAGTCTCTACGAAAACGTACTTATATATAATCGTTAGGTTTTAATTGCTGCTAAAGAATATTCTGTATTTTGTGTACACTTAGTTAAAGAGGTAAAATATTTTGTATTTGTAATTTCTGTTTTGTCTCAAGACGACATACGTGATTTTATTGTTAATAACTTTTTTTTTTGATGATAATGTATAAAGAAGTGTAATACACTGTAAGAAAGTTTATTAAATACAGTGTTTAATGATATTATTCATTTTTTTTAATTTCATTTAAAATATATATGTACTTAAATTTATGAAGAAACATGTGTTTTTTCCGGGACTAGTTGAACCTCTCTTTTTCTTTACATAATTACAGTCATCTTTCAATAGATCCTGCTAAGTTTTACAAATCTCATAAAATATTTCATACTCTTAATACCGATATCAATATTTAAGTCTTAAGTGCCAGGTTTATTGAATAATTATTTACTTTATTTATATATATTTATATATATATATTTTAAATATTGTATAACAGGTAGTCGCTAACACTTTCGATATCGATAGTACGCAAGACGACACAAGTATGTGCGCGGGTGACTGGACGCAGGGAGACACTACTTGGAGCTAGCGCGTCGCCCGTTGCTATGGTTTCGCTTCCCCGTATGTCATACCGCACCGCACTGTTCATCTTTCGTGGCGCAAGCCGCAAGCTATACACTATTCTATTCACCGTACATGGTACTGTTACGGTAAATTAATAGAAACTATCCACCATCTCCTTCTTAGCAATGGGTTATTAATTTTATTTTTAGTAAATGTGTAAAAAATATAATAGTTCAAAGGCAAAACGCAGCAAGCGGGCATATGGAGTTCAAACTTCAAATGATACGAGTGTGTACATGGTGTGTTCTCCGTCGAGCCTTTACGTGACGAGAGGCACACGAGGTGACGAGATGAGCGTGTTCAGCCGCCATGAGCTACATACATCTAGGGTTGCCAGGTCTTTAAACCGAGAAGCCGAACAGACCATCCAGCTTTGCCAGACATTTTGGTAAAAAGGCCGGACACCCTTAATTATTCAGTCTTAGTATAACACGATAATATATTTTTTAAAGTAAAACAATGCTAACCTTATATCATTTACTACAAAATCTTAAATTAAAAGAATCAGTGTTCTTTATTATTAATCATTCAATATTAATTACAATATTAGTTTCAATAATGGCAATAGGTAGTATGTATTTAAGTACATGAAAAATGTAAAAAAATGGTCAAATATAAAAAGCCTGACAAATGCCGGACATGCCTGGACACCGTCTAATTTGGCCGGACACGCAAACAAAAAGCCTGACTGTGTCCGCCTTTATCCGGACGCCTGGCAACGCTACATACATCTGTATACAATACAGTATAGCGTAGTTCTGTGTTTGTGTTAGGTTATGATTACAAAAATATTAACAGATTATAGGTATTATAACATTAGTTTAACTGTGTTATGTTATGATAATGATTAAGAATATATAACATTTTATAGGTGTTATAATTATAATATGCGCGTGACATCGTCAATATTAGTACTTTTGTACAATTTTATGGTCACAAAATATGTAAGTGCCTAAGTATTATTGTCCATCACATCACATAATTTTTATGATCCACATCTTGCGTGTAAGCCATTAACTATCCCGAAGGGACTCTTTACTCTCGTTGTGCGAGTCGTATATCGTGTTACGTACCTACCTATATTCATCTTAATAATAATCTATTCAAAACGAAACGCTTACGCGAGCGCCGGTCGTGGTGTGTGTCAACTGCGTACGTAAAATAATCATTACATTTTGTCCACGAACTAGGTACACGATTATCAAGCTCGTAAGCAGTTTCTGAAACCGATTATGTTAAATAATGCTCACCTCTAGGCATGTCTCGTGGTGTCTCGACGAGCGTGTACAGCCGGCATTAGGAATATCCGCAGTTTGGTTTATTCATTTCTAATTTAATAAACAGACAAGATATCTAATATATCAGAAAAGAACATTAATCTTTACACTTTTCTAACAAATTGACTTCCCCCGCTATGAAATCTATCAAATATT